ATAATCGAGCACGCATAAAAATAGACTAGGATACAAGCCCGTTGATAAATATAAGGACTCACTGAATATGTATAAATTATGACTGACATTTCGGAGAAAAGTTTGGAGAAGTTTATTTTAATTACCTTGAAAGAGCGGACAAATCCTTCTCCAGCAAGTAATTCCCCCCTGGCTAGTGTACTGTCCCAAGGCAGTCTCGAGGAAAAAGAGGGGGATCCCGCACGTGAATATGAACAAGATGTATGGGATGAAAAACACACCTGTAAGAAAGGCGGAATTTTTCGTTCTAACGCACGGAGGAAAAAAATACTGGTGGACAAAATGTGCCTGACGACTAAGAGCGTTTCTTTACGTTTCTTTCACCCACCTCCTCCGTTTCTGTAGCACAAGTAGGGGAACCTCCACACATTCCCGGGTCCAATGATCGCACCCATCACAGTCAATATGAACTCGGCTTTGGTTCCCCAGTGCCCCCTTCCTTCCACCTCTTCAGCGTTCTCTGGGTGACTGTTTGGCACACAAGCTGTGGAGGTGCCATTCTTGCCGTTTGTGGTCATCTGTTCCCCCATTTAAATGGTTTACTTGGTGCCAGATTTCCTTTGTTTCTGTGTAAAGTTCCCCGCGCACTGGACTAAAACTCACACGGGGTTGATCACACGAATATGAAGCTAAAGATGCCACTGATACGCTGGTCCTGTTACTGTGACTTGTGTTGGCTGAGAGGGGTACTCGCCTACTTAACCTGCAGAGAAATGTGTGTTTTCTGGGGTGCAGGGGGAAAGAGTGATGAAGTGAAGCTTGTGATGAGGTCTACTGCTCCGCCTTAATTCATCCGACACCGACAGCAAAACAAAGCCTGGGGTACTGAACATTTCAACATATTATTCATCCTCCTGAAAACAAAGGAAAAAATAATCTTCTCAATTAAACCTTTTCTTTTGTTATTTCCTTCCTCTTTGGAGCTAAAAGACACAAAATCAGATACCAATGGAAATCCCGGTATTTCCTCTATTAAGTATGTATGGACTTATAGGGTAGCTCAAATAAGTCGAAAGATAAAGACAAAAAAACAAATGTCCATTACAGAGGATATAAATGAATAGATTGGTTCTCATGAGGTTATTTATTTATTTATTATTTTATATAGCCTCATATATCTTAACTCATAGTACGGTAAACAAATAAATGCAGAAAAAACAACAGTTTTTTTACGCTTTACTTGGATCTTGAACTCAGAGAAGACATTTAAAACTGTTTTGACTCAAAAAAAATGTCAAAAATTGATTCAGTCAGCTGAAGAGTCTAGCGATATTTATCATATTAATTTAGTTTAGCATTAAATGTCTTGTTTTTCTGTATAAGAAAATTGACGTCCAGCCTAACGGACCTAAGAATTGTGCATAACAGGCAATCACGCACAATTCTTAGATCGACCTTTAGGTGGCACTATTTATAACATTATTTTTCGTACCACACAGCTCTCTATAACACAAAAAAGTCCAAATGTCACACTGAGAATAATATGCATTTAATTTTCTGCTTATTTTATTGGTTTGACTAATAAATAAAGTAATGTAAAGATATAGACATGCCCTTGAACTTTAACAGGCATCTTCATGTTATTTATGTATTTATTTATGGTAGAGAAAATTACTCCTGCAAACAGAAGAAAAGCTTGGGCAACACTCAAGCTTTTCTCAGAACTTTGACTACTTAAAATTAATGCACTGTTTAAGGCAGGGCAGAATTATTTGTTATGCATTATAATTATTTATCATGAATTATCATGTGTTGGTAGTTTCTGATCGAGATAAGTTGTCTTACTCTTTAAACTGCGCTAATACTCAATACCAAGGATCTGAAAATGATGCAAAGGCAGAAAGATGACACTGAAGCACCCCAACTGCGAACTTTTGCAAAATGTCAGTTCATTTAATTCAGTTTTATTTATATAGTGACAA